TCGCACTCTGCGCATTTATGTGGACCGTACTCAGAATTTTGGATCATCTGAGCAGCTCTTTGTCTGTTATGGCGGTCGGCAGCAGGGAAGTGCCGTATCGAAACAAAGATTATCCCACTGGATTGTGGATGCCATTTCACTCGCTTATTCGAGTCGAGGTCAGCCGTGTCCCCCGGGAGTACGTGCACACTCCACTCGGAGCGTTGCATCCTCTTGGGCGCGTGCACGCGGCACCTCTCTAACAGACATCTGTAGAGCTGCGGGCTGGGCGACACCCAACACATTTGCAAGGTTTTACAATCTGCGAGTGGAGCCGGTTTCCTCAAGGGTATTAGGTAACCCTTTGGTGATTGAGGAAACAACTCGGTAGGGTGTTGAAACACGCTTGCTGCGCCATTCTCCCTAACACGGAGGTGCTTGCGCCTTTTTATCTGTCAGTAAAGTTCCCCGTCAGGTGAGCCCTGCAGATTCCTCCGTGGCCCCCAGCACTGACTCAGCGGAGGAGTCACGTGCTGGCCCACTACGTTGTAGGTCTGCCCGCTGGTCAGCCCGCGTTTTAGGTATAGGTGCCTGCTATGCGTGATCTCCACTAGGCGATCCCATATGCTTATTCCGCCACGGTTAAGTTTCTCCCCTGGGCGGACCCGTGTCTTCCCTCTCTGCTAACCACTCTTTGCTATGCGTACTCCCCCCTTTTAGGGCTAGTCCATATGTAAATTCTGCCATCTATCCCCCCCTTGGGTAACGGATGGCCTCCGCAGCGTCCTCCCTATCGGGATTGCACGCTTTCCAACGTACTGTCGTATTTCCTAGAATTATCTAGATGCTCACGACTTCCCAAAAAATATATCTAAATCCGTAAAACTTCTGTTGAAGTAGGATAAATTAGGGCCAGGGACACGTTGGAGGACCGCGCCTCCCATGATGTGGGTGCGTCACGCTTGCTTGACTATCTCCTCATCGGGGGCGTTGGTAAGGTGCAGTCATTGTGGCGCTTTCCATACTTCTCCCATTCGTGGATTTCATCCACTTTATGGCACTGAAGTTCCCCAACCGAAGGGGAACGTTCGAGGTTACAGAAGCAACCCTTCGTTCCCCGAGGAGGGGAACGGAAGTGCCATACTCCGTCGCCATAATGACTGTCCCTTAGCTGTTTGAAAGTCTCTTCAGCTTAAAAGGATGGCGTTTGCTAGCTTCAGGTGTGCTTATATGCTGAGATAATTGCAGATGCCGCACACCTGCGCAAGCTTACGCTGCCAATTAATTTCATTCATTGGCCCGTTCAATACTCTCCAGACAAGCGGCTTCTGATCCGAATCCTCCCATTCGTGGATTTCATCCACTTTATGGCACTTCCGTTCCCCTCCTCAAGGAACGAAGGGTTACTTCTGTAACCTCGAACGTTTTTGCCCTGATTTGATCACCATTATCTTCTGCATAGTTCGCTGAGTGACATTATTTACATTTTTAAAAATTTGATTTATATACAACATTTAATTCATTTCAGTTAGCTTGTTTGTAGCTTAGCAATAAAATGAACAAACCAATAAAAAAAGGTTTCGTCAAATTAGAAATGATGATCTCTATGAAGACATTTACCCCAGCCCTCTCCATCCTTCTCACTCTCTTATGGTGGGCCAAATCAAAGGTTACAAGGAGCCAATTTTTGCCCGCGGGCCTTACTTTGGGCATCTCTGCTCTGGAATCTGTCACAATGCGAACAAAAAAAAAAACAGTCACAGCTTCTGGTTCGTGTGGACTTTAAAGATTCAAAAGTACACAAGTATGTAACGTTAAAGTAAATAACAATTTTGATTGGGGAATTGAAGTCACTGTTACAGTCCACCACTAGGACAGTGTCCCTGACTTGTGTAGAGGTGAAATTCTGCAAAACAAGCATTAGGCGGATCCATAACAGCTTTAGCTTCAGCTCAGTGATCCAGCAAATATTTTGACCCACTTTAACCACGCTTTTGAACCTGTGAAATATCTGTGAGGTCCATCGTATTGTAAGACATTTACCCACGTCGGGCTCTAACTGGTGTTTGTTTTGAGTGTGTGGGCACAACATCCCTAAAGTCAGCCATTTGTCTGACCTTCAGCCGATCCGACAGTTCTCATCAGCAACACTACACTGCACACTCTCAAGCCCTATGGAAGTAGAGCAGCACTGAGAGAGAAGAGGGGGGTCTGACGTCCCACAGATCCCTCCTCATCTGCCCTAAGCAGCTCTAGGAAGCCCTTCAGTTCTGCTTTCCCTCTTCAGCGGCTCTGCTTCTCTTCCACCGCAGGCCATCCTCCCCCAGAACCCGATCAATAGTGCTCTCCTGCTTTCATCAGACCTGCATTGTGGAGAAGCTGCACTCTCTGAAGAAACAGCCACCCAGCCTTGAGTGTGCTTCGCTTTTCTCAGACCGCCTGACTGCCCGCCAGACTTCACTCATTAGTGGCAGTCTGCTTTTTTTGGCTGCTTTTATAGATGCAGGTAGCAAATGTAAAATAAGGAAACGTCACTGATGTGAACTTGCCTGCATTAGCATTTGCTGATGCACAAAATACTGGTACTATATTGGTTACTGGACGATATTATAGAACTTGTGATACTGAAAGTCATTTATATTTATCACTTTATCATTAACCTGGTTTCCATCACAGACACTAACCAAAGTGTGACTAAATCTATTTTTATTGTAATTTTTTTACACAAATGCGTGTAGGTATACATATATTGCAGCCATATCTTTAATAAAAAAAACTAGGCTTAGACTTAGGCCTCTTGTAGTAAACCGTAATAAGTTGAGACAACTCAAATGATTTGAGGAAAGTGATTCCTTCAGTTCGTTTGAGAAATGGGAAATCGACAGCTCAATTAAATGAGGTGACCAAATGTGTGTGGTCTCTTCAACTTAAATATTTAAAAACATATCTTAACTGTTTAAGTAGGAATAACTTAAAATGAAAAATAGATTAAAATTTATAGTACTTATTCCCCGGGTTCCTTATATCGAAGTTGATATTTAGCCGCACCATGTTGGTGTTTTGTAACATCTAATTTTTACAAAGTGGGGCATTAGTCCAACGGTTAACCCACCAGCCTGAAGGACCAGGACATACACACATACACTATGGACAATTTAGCTTACCCAATTCACCTAGCACTAGTCTTTGAACTGTGGGGGAAAACAGAGCACTCTGAGGAAACCTACGCCAACACTGGGAGAACATGCAAACTCCACAAAGCTTCAGCCAAATTCCGCATCACAATCAAAATGACCAACTTGTTTCAAATAACATAAAATGACCAATCAGCACAGTTGTCAATGCAGAATTTCAAGTGCAACCAATCATTTTAAACAGAGACATGGTGAATCGTTTAAAGAACTTAAAATATTAATTAAAAGTTTTTTGCTGCCTAATGAATTAGTTAAACACACCTATTTAAGTTTTGATGCCAAAACTTTGTATATTAAGTAATGTCAAGTTATATTAACTTAATATCTTTAGTAATGACAACAGCAGGATTTAAAGTGTGCCTGCTTAATCTTATTCATAGATCCACTACTTAACAGCTTTCCGTATGTTGTGATTCATGGATTTTTTTTACATTTATGCTTTTAAGTTCTATTATGTAAAAAAGTGACTCTCATTGACATTTTTGATAGTTTGAATTGATATGTTGCCTGTGGAGGTTTTTTTTAAATGACAGTATAAACTGCCAGTACTTTGTCTGCTATTTTACAGACTTAATTATCGATTATTTATCATGCAACACACTGTATACCACCTGACATAAGTCTTGTCGCCTATCCAAGTTTTAAGAACAACAAATACTAATTTGACTTCTAGTTGATCATTTGGTATCAGAAGTGGCTTAAATGAAAGGCATTGGCCTCTAGATTACGCTAATTTTACCAAATAAAATATGATCATGCCTTGATTTTTTATTTTTTAATTACGAATGTAAGGTCTGACTTTGCTTAGACAAAAGTCTTGTCACTTAAAAGAAGTAATGTACAGTATAGCATATAAAGTCATAGTGCAGTGGAAAAATAATTAATATTGTGAATGACTCCCATGAGCTTGGAGTTAGGGTTTGGGTAGGTTTCCTCCAGGTGCTCCGGTTTTCCCCACAGTCCAAAGACATGTGGAACAGGTGAATTGGGTATGCGAAATTGACTGTAGTGTATGAGTGTGGATGAGAGTGTGTGGATGTTTCCTAGAGATTGGTTGTGCCTGAAAGGGCATCCGCTGCGTAAAACGTGCTGGATAAGTTGGCGGTTCATTCTGCTGTAGCGACCCCAGATAAATAAGCCGAAAAGAAAATAATTGAATGAATGAATTTAATAACTAACATAAATTATACTCTGTAAAACTACTGTTTTTACATTACTGTGATGGTTGGGTTTAGAGTTGGGGTAGGGGTAGACATATTATAAAATACAATTATTAGGAAATTTAATAAATAATTCATGTTAACTTCCAGCCGCAACCGTCTCTAATCTAGCAACAAGCAAGAGATGAAGGTCCCATAATGCAATTCATAACCTTAAATAAAGAGGGGAAAAGAGAATCACCAAATAGGGATTGCATGGCAACATCTCTACCTTTAAAGAACAAGCATGTAACGTCCTAAATACTCCTTTTGCAAACTGCCTGAAAGGACTCATGCAAATGCAAAACAGTTTTTTTTAGATGAGCAATTGCAAAATATGTTTTTTTTTTTCACTTTGAGAATTTGAAGGGTAATGGAAATGCAGCTATTGTTAGCTAATCATTTATTATTATTTAAAAAAATAAGTCTGCTAAATGACTAAATGTAAAAACATTAATAACACATCAATAACACAAATAACACATCATAATATTGTAGTTCTTGTTGTTGTTAAAATTATCCTTGATAATCATCATTTCCCCCTGCCTTAACTTCTTATGTTGAAAGTTAAAAATGACCCCCACACAGGAGCATTATTAAGAATGCAGAGCTGTGGATCATAATGATGTAAATTATCGCATGAAAATCTTTAATGTATGACAACAGAAAGATAATCACTTGCATGAAAGACAGTTCAGCTCTATTTAGATCTGATTCGCTTCTAAACGTCTCATTCAGGTGTCACCTGATCCAGCTGCTCGTTTTTCATAAGCCTTCGCCAAAGCTAGAAAAACCAGGTGTCCGTAGCTCAAAGTTCACTGAAATCTATTTTGTTGATTTAGGATGACAAGGAAGTAATATATCGGAAAAGAAGAGACAGTTTGGCAAGTTAGTTAACAGATCCTTCCAGGAAGAAATTCTTCTGAATATTTACCATTAAACTTCGTTTTGGAAGACGATCCAAGGTCTCTGTAACCATAAATTGAACGAGCATCCCGTTCTGCTCCCTGCAAATAGACAAACGTTAGTGCGCTTGAATTAACCTTTAAGGATTCCCATAACTTTGTCCGGAGTAAATCTGTCCGGTGACAAATTACTCCAGTTACGCTTTTAATGTGTAGTTTCCACTGTTGGCTGAAACCCAATCCGCTTCCCACAACACCCAAAACAGGACAATCACAATGTTGTCCAAACAGACTTTTCATCTGTCCAGGCTGAGCTGTTTTATTGGAGGCCTGAATCACAGCCTTTTCTGGAAACTGTCGGGGCGCCGGCAAATGTGCATGCAATTTCCAGTCTTCACGTGACGTTTGAGACAGGACGACCGCAGGAGAGCACGGCAGGATCCGGCAGCAGCTGCCAAGCCGTGGGGACAAATTTGAACTCTGCAAACACAGTCATGTCAGCGGCAGCCCGGCTCAGCTACACTCGCCCTGGAATGACACCCATTCACATATTTAGCCAACGTCTGACTCACCCTGAAACACAGAAGAGGAAGCACTGACGAAACAAGAGACTGCGACCATCTTTAACATTTCCAGACAATCTAAAATAGGTATAGCTTGTACCAGACTGATTGCATCCAAACGGTGAATTAAGAGAAGGTAGCACTTTGCAGGCTGCTTTCAGTCTTGAGTCGCTACAATAACATGATATACAGTATTTATGAGGCAACGAAAATGGCCAAACCTTATAAATATGTAATGATCTTGTTTACTGGATGGCTGTTGAATTGGGAATGGGATTTTGTGTCTCATGAAAGCAGAAAGTAGATAATGTACATGGCCAACCATTTGGAGGTTTCACTTGGGTCAATTACATAACACATTTTTAGGTCCTACTGTATAAATACATTAAAAGCAAACTAAATTTACACTGTCACTAAAGGTTTTGACGGTTTTACAGGTCCAATTACAACTCTATAAATTGATCCTAATATTGTATTTATTCATTCATTTTCTTTTCAGCTTAGTCCCTATATTAATCAGGGGTCCCCACAGCGGAATAAACCGCCAACTTATCCAGCACATGTTTTTACGCAGCAGATGCCCTTCCAGCTGTAACCCATCACTGGAAAACATCCAAACACACTCATTCACACACATACACTATGGAAAATCTATCCTTCCCAATTCACCTCATGTTTTTGGACTTAACCAGAGCACCCGGAGGAAACCCACGTGAACACGGGGAGAACACGCAAACTCCACACAGAAATGCCAACTGACCCAGCCAGGGCTCGAACCAGTGACCTTCTTACTGTGAGGCGATTGTGCTACACACTGCGCCACCCTGCTGCCCTCCTAATATTATATGGTTAGTTTTAATCATATCTGAAAGGGTCATGATTAATGAGCTCTGCTCTGATGCAGAATGCATCACAGTAAGAGTTAAATGAAAAAACACAATGTATACAGTAGTGTGAAAAAGTGTTGCCCCCCTTACTAATTTCCTGTTTTTTTGTATGGCTATCACATTTTAATGTTTCGTCAAAGAAACTTAAATACTTGTCAAAGATGACAAAAGTAAACACATCATGCAGTTTTTAAGCAAAGATTATTATAGGAAACCAAAATATAAAACTATCCTGAAACCATAGTCTTGTGTGGGAAATGTGTTTAAAATTGTTTACCAAAATATCCTGAATAAGAACGCCAGGCCATCTGTTATGCCCCATTCACACGGGGCTTCAGCTTCAACGCTTGACTGAAGGTGTGGTTAAAGTTGGGGCTGAAGCGATCGTCATAGCAGCGTCAGCCAATGAAATTCAGTCAGCAAAAGGCTCCTGTCTAGCTGGTGTATTTGCATACAGCGATCTGATTGGCTGACGCTTCCGTCAGCGCTAGAAAAGTTGAGCTAGTCCCAACTTCTGCAGCGAGCAACGCCTCTTAAGCGGCGCCAACGGATCCACAATGCAGGCAACGCCTGACATCACCCATTCAAAGTGAATGGGAAGTGTTGACGGTGATGCCCTGTGTGAGTGGGGCGTCAGTGACCTCAAGCTGAAATGAAGCAGGGCAATGGTCCAAAACACTCCAACAAGTCCACTTATAAATGGCTGAAAAAAATTAAGACTTGGAGTGGCCTAGTCAAAGTCCTGACCTGAATCCAATTGAAATGCTGTGGCATGACCTTAAAATGCAATTTATTCTCAAAAACCCTCCAATGTGGCTGAATTACAACAATTCTGAAAATTTAGTGAGCCAAAATGCCTCTACTACAGCATTGCAATAGATTCATTGCAAGTTATAAAAAATGCTAGATTACAGTTCTTGCTGCTAAAACAACCAATTATTAGATTTAGGGACAAATACATTTTCACACAGGACTATTTAATTTTGTATTTTGTTTTCCTTTAATAATAAAAGCCTTCATTTCAAAACTGCAAGACAGGTTTACATGTGTTATCTTTTATTCATACATTCATTTTTTCGGCTTAGTCCCTTTATTTATCAGGGGTTGCCACAGCGGAATAAACCGCAAACTTATTTAGCATATGATTTACGCAACAGATGCCCTTCCAGTCGCAACCCAACACTGTGAAACACCCATGCACACTCTTTCACACATACATTACAACCAATTTAGCTTATTTAATTCACCTATAGCACATGTCTTTGGATTGTGGGGGAAACAGGAGCTCCCGGAGAAAACCCACATATATATATATACATAATACTTCATACATAAAATATACATAAATAAGAAATTATAAGAAATATTGTTTTTCTTGGTCAATGAGTCTCTTAAAATAGTGCTTATTCAAGTTTATAATATGACATTTCCATATAGTCTTGATCTTTCGTCTCAAATAGCATAACTGTTTTAAAACCATATTTGTCACATTTAAATGGAGATTTTCTAGAGATTTTACTTTATCTCATAAAATGTCATTAACTCACAAGATAAACTGAGTAAGACAAGAGAAGCAAAGAACCACGTCATGTGCGCTTTCTCGTAAGTTAGCATGTTATGAGTAAATGTGGAAAGATGGAGTGTGAATTAAGGATACTAATATTCCCTGTGGTCTGTGGTGGGGGGGTGAGGCGGAGGAAAGCTCGGCGGAGCAATCCCGTTTGGCAGGTAGATGAACTGCAGATCATACGGGCCGGCAAGTGCTGATTAATGGGAGCGGGAAGGCGCTGGAAAGAAAACAACGCTATAAATCAACGTCGCGACGATGGTAATTGTAATTGAAATGAATTTGTCTGCCCGGAGCCAGGCATTGCAATTGATATTGACCAAAGCCCTGGTGGTCCATAGAAAATGAAATTGAGAAAATGTATTCAGAGTATCCACTGTAAGGTCTATACATCACTGCATGACCTAGTCGTCTCACTGTGGGCCAATAGGAAGAGAGAGAGAGCAAAGATCAGTGTGGGTGTCAGATGCTAATGAGCCCCCGGATGCTCAAACGTGGCTAATACTGCACATTTATGGGAAAAGAGCAGCGTTAAAATTAACTAAACGCACTGTAAATGCAAAATACCAATGCAAATATAGCTGCAATTTTGGAATCTTAGAATGAAACTGTGTGAAACAGCTGTATCATTAAAAAACAATGACTGCAGATGAATGTTATTGTAAATGTAACATGCATTATCCACACTTCACTAGTTTACTTATGGATGCCTTATTGTCTCTTCTGCCTTTAAACTAATCCTAATGAGTACTGTGAACTGTGAGTAAATCAAGCAATTTGAGCACAGTAAAAGCCAATAAATGAAGAGAACTCAAGCCAACTGAGTACTGTAAAACTCAAAAAGTTAAGGCAACTCAAATAGTTTTAGGAAACTGACTGCAACAGACCATTAGAGTAAAAAAAAAAAAAAAAACTAATCTATAAGAGTACTGTGAACTTGCTGTAATGATGTATTTAATTAACTCATTACCTTCAACACTGAGTTCAAAACTCTTTTCAAATGAGTAGAATTAACTTTCTGTACATTTTGAGTTAACTACACTCATTTGATTTGGTAAAGTTGACCGTTGGGTTTCACAGTACAACTTATATTTTTAGTTTAAGATATATTTAAGATATAGCATAAAGCTCTAATTCAGAATGATTACTTAAGTTTTCAGTGTCATAGATACTTCACTCTAATTTCCTGATTTAGTGATTAGAAGTTCTTATTGTTAAAACCAGCTGAAAATAAAGCTGCTTAATATGTTTGTGGGACATTTGATAGGCATTAAGCAATGTATTTTAAAGTTACAAAGAGATATGCATGTGAAATAAAGGTTTTTAATCCTGAGTTGAATGTATCGTCATGAGGTTATTGGAAAACAAGTTAAGTGTTTTCTCATGTAGCACTATCTTTATTTAGTGCTTAAGGTAGCTAACATTACTAGCAGTTAACGACCACAGACTAGACACAAAGCAAGCAGTTTTATTGTCTCCCTTTCTACAATTAATAAGTGCATAAGAAAACTTGCTAGCTAGCATTATTGAAGTAGTCACGACAATGAGTGTAAACTCATGGGGCACGCCGTCATCATTTGAATGTACTTTAGGTCATTCATCCAGAGGAGAACACAGACTTATATGTAGCTCTGGGATCATTCATATGCACACCTCAGGCTGAGTTAGATAAGCCACAACATTTCCTAGTGAGACAAAAGCAATCATTTTCCTCCCTTTAGTTATTTTTATATTTTACTTACTATGTTGGTGGAACTTTTATTTTGAAAACGAAAGGCATTAATTGTTTACTATGCACTACTGAGCAACGACTGCACAAGACATGTTCAAAGTCCCACCAAGACGCAAAAAACAGTATTTAAATAAGGTCAGTTTAATTGTATGTTTTGTGTTTAATGTAAAATTTTATGTGTATGCTTCGAAAACACATGAAGACTGCCGAATCGTGTCATCACTCAGCTGAATCTATCACTCAGCTAAACTGTCATTTGTTCATGCAGAGATTGATATTAATTCCTGGCTGTTTTCTTTAACATTGTAGCTTAAAAATACACCACATTACATCTTTATCTGCCTCGTTTTGTCAAAGTTTAACTATAATTTAGCCTTTATCCACAACAGATCTCGTGAGCAAAACTCTGAAAACTTCACATTACTTTGATGGGTTCATTATAGAGAGCTCACTCTCTAAAAAGTTTTTTTAACTGAACATATACTTTATTTGTTAAATTCGTTTTTTGGCAAATTAGGTATTATTATATTGCCCATGTTCAGCGTACATCATGCTGTGTGTTTATGTGTGTGTGAGAGAAAGCTGCAGGTCAGAGTGAAACTCATTAATGTTCATGACCAATCCAAATATGGTCAATTATAGATCTTCTAATTGTAGGGGTAGTTATTTTATCAATCTAGGCTCATTCTGATTACATACCCCTATATACATTTCAGGAGAGAGCAAAATATGTCCCAGGAGCTACGTTTTTTTTTTTTTTTTTTTGCAGTTTTTGTTTATCGCGAATCCACCAGAGGCCTCTGTTTATGCATTCTCAGATCTCAAATTTTTCTCGCGAGTGCCATTCGCACCTGCTGTTCTCACGGAATTCCACCAGAGGCCACTGTCAACTGACTGACTAACCAACCGATATCTCCCCACCCTCCCCCTTTCCTAAACCCAACCAATAGTGCTTTGAAAAGCACAGATTGATCCACCCACCACCTTCCCTAACCTCAACTGCAGTGTTTTAAATAGCAATTCAGAAAAAGAAAAGCCCCCTCATTTTTCCATGCACATTTTCATATTTTACGACATTCTCACCCTGTTATTTACTTGTTTATTTAATTTTTTAGCTTGTGTTTTTGTATTACCTGCTTTCTGAAACCGTTCTTCACCAATTAAACCCAGGCTCATTCTGAAAACGTAGTCCCATGGACGTTTCTGGAGACCGCGAAAATCGTCCCGGGAGGTACGTATTTTTGCAGTTTTTATTTTTACGAATCCACAAGAGGCTGCTGTGTGCACTTTTTCGCATCTCAAATGTCTCTCGCGAGTGCCGTTCACGCCCACCAGAGGCCTCTGTTTATGCATTCTCAGATCTCAAATTTTTCTCGCGAGTGCCATTCGCACCTGCTGTTCTCACGTAAACCCACCAGAGGCCGCTGTCAAACGACCGTCTGTCTGACTGGCTGAATGATTGACTGGGCGACCAGCCAATCAGCTGACCCATCCTTCTCCTTTCCTTAACCCAACCAATTTTATCGATTGACAAGGAAAAAGTTATATATAACTGAAAAGTTATATGCTTTGGTTCTTTCTGACTACTGGCTAAGCCAAAGTGATGCAAATGCTACGGGCAGGCTTTTAACGACTCTGCCTTTGCCTTTGGGTGATACTTTCAGGCCAAAGAAACCCCTTTTGTTCATTAATTTGTGTGGTCAGTAGCTGGGCAGGTTTCTAACACCTAAATGCCAATTATCATGCTGACTCCAATACTGAATTTGCAAGCTTTGTTTAGCCATCTCTCCTCCTCCTAAGAAGACATTATAGATAGGACATCTTTGTCTTAATTTAGACTTGTGATAAAACTTCCAGACTGCAGACCTCCAGTAGGTTATTCCTGCAGATACATGGACAGATGCATGAAGACACTGTATGACTGCAGATTAACCAACACGTCTTAATAAAAGCGTCTTAAATTCTGCTTGTTTCAAGTTTCCTGTACTGGGTTCTCTTCTCTTTCACTCATTTATTTTTTTACAGCACTATATACCTACTATATACAGTAGATATCAGAGAACAATTTAACTTACTGAACCAATGCGGTAAATGGCACCTTTAAGTTCTGCCTACAAAGAAAACATCATAATGTTTACTAGCAGAAAAATGGTCCATTCACTGTTGCTAACAATTCCAAGAAGTCCTGAAAACTGAAGAATCACGTATATAAGCTAACTCATGTTCACAATTAGTATACTAGCATACAGCTGTGTGGTTTCCTTCAGGAACCTTTGTACTCAAAACTTTGCTAGCTTCTTGTTGGTTTACTTCACCAGCACATCAGACTGGTAGACTGCAATTTGAACAGAGCCAGTGGCGACTCAGATCCCAGGTCTACGGAGAGACTCAGAGGAACATCTCGGCTGGAGGGGGCCCGTGCAGGAAAAACACAATGAAGGATCGGCTACAAGCTAATGGTACCACTTTACAACCCAACACAATCTGCACTGTATTCGGCTTTGCAATATTGCCCCTATTGTTTAGAGTGCATAATGCAGAAATGTTTGGTTTCCAACGTAAAACCTCGGACTAATAGTTCCGGGAGGTTTTCATGTGCACTTTCTGCACAGATATAGAAGAAATCTATATTTCATAAGTGTGCTGTATAGCTACAGCACCCAATTATCAGCAGATAAGACAGAGGGAAGCCCCGGAGCATCAAGCCAGATATTTAGACCAAGGGAAGCAGGCTTGCAGGGACCGAAACCCCAGGGGCACTACAGCCTCACCCAAGCCTTTCCCCCCTCTGTTTTCCCTTCCTTCCACTGCCTCCCTCCATCCTTACTTCACCTGCGGGGTTCAATTAGCAGAGACAGCAGCTCTCGCACCACAAGTCTGCAGATGGAAACAGGGTACGTCTAAGGCTCCATTTACAGTGAGTTACATAAAAAAAAACACAATTCAGAGTTTTGCTTATGTGTGACACAAATCAGACGTGTTCTATGGCTGTGTATGGGGGAAAAGCATGTGCGTTTGGATATTTCAAGATTTGTATGTGAAAATAAATCAAATATATTCCAATGTGACTGTTATGAGGACAGACAGGCTGTGTTTTTCTGTATGTCAGGTAAACTGTGATAATTTGGCACTTCTGGACTGTTTAATGACATCATATTCTCAGCAGGAAGTATGTGTGGAGGCAGTACATTAATATGTCAAAACTAATAATAATAATTAGTAATGAAAATAATGAAAAGCCTGCCAATAATCTACACCAGTCCTGAAAACTTTTTCACACACCAACATTTCTCTAAATGGTTGAGGACAAGACATAATAACTTCAGTATAAGTGCAGGCTATAATGAAGACCATTTTTCTCCTCCTCCACCTCAAAACATTGTCAAAATTTGGCTTTTTGATCACAGAGCTAGCATCAAGTATCCAGCATCTTGGCTAGGAGGCCTGATACTAGAATTGCATGGCTCCCAAGGTAATCAAAAATTGACTGTGGTATGAACATATTTTCATATAGGCTAATTCATTAATTTATTCATTCATTTTTTTTTCAGCTTAGTCCCTTAAGTAATCTGGGATCGCCACAGCAGAATGAACCGCCAACTTATCCAGCACATGTTTTACGCAGTGGATGCCCTTCCAGATGCAACCCATCACTGGGAAACACCCATAAACACTCATTCACACACATACACTACTAGCAATTTATCTTACCCAATTCGCCTGTACTACATGTCTTTGGACTTGTGGGGGAACACCCGGAGGAAACCCATGCAAAGACGGTGACAACATGCAAACTCCACACGGAAATGCCAACTGACCCGGCCGAGACTCGAACCAGCAACCTTCTCGCTGTGAGACGAGAGCACTACCCATTGCACCGCCGCATCACCCCAGGATAATTCATAGTTAATTATAACTTTTTTCTTAATTTTTGGTTTTGCCATTTTTTTCCTGTGGGTGTTTTAAATAATCTAACTCTTATAGCACATTTGAGAATGTCCTTTTTATAGGCTGGAGGTTTTCTCCCATACGTGCCCCTGGATAACAAAAGTCATATGTGTCAATTTTAGAAATTGAGATTTATACATCTGACAGCTGAACAAAGTGCAAAAAAATATATTACATGTTATAAGGAACAAACTGTAAAAACATTGGGTTCCACACAATTCCTTCATGTTGTCCCAACACAAAAAAAGAAGTTGTTAAGTGGACTGAACATAAAATAATTTAGTTGTCCTCCCCCCAAAAAACTTAAGAATTCTGTTGTTTCAACTTATTTTAAATAAGTAGTTTGAACAAGCAGAAAAAGTCTTTTTGGGAGTATGATCAGTTACTCAGTGCATTAACTACAGTATGTAAGCAAGCATGAATTTGGATGTTAAGAATACATTAGTAAATGTTGAACTATGATTAATAAATGCTGTACAAGATTGTTCATACTTTGTTAATGTTAGTAAATACATTAAATAATGGATCATTATTCTAAAGCGTTACCACATTGTGTGGTCCAAAAAAACATTTAGGCATACACAATGATTCAGATATAGCAATTTTAAATGCATGAATCAAATATGGGTCACAATTGAAAGAACGGGCTGACCATTGTGTTAAAAAAATGGATATAAGCTACAAATCAGAACTGAGCATCAAAACACGCCGTGTAAACAAGGCCTGAATCACTAAACTACACTAGAGGCCTACCATACACATGCGAACACGACAAAACACTCACCCGCTCACATCACGCGCACTTAGCCCTGTGAAAAATACATGAACTGCCAGCAAAAAAAAGCAACATGCAGCATTCTGTGGGCAAACACGCTCACCATTCTCCGAAAAACTGCACTTTTACCCACACAAACATGTATTTGTACACTGACCTCAGCCAACAGAAACTGCTGTATGCCATCCATGTAATAGATCCAGCTTCAACACACGGTAAGGTCATTTGCAGGTCAAGCGTAGCTCATGGTAGGCAGATGATTATCGATCTAGAGGGACCAGGGACTGTTCACAAGGGCAGGCGGCCCACAGATCAGCCTTGGGCAGAGGAAATAGAGGTCATGGGCTAGAGAGTGCACAGTTCATACACAATGAACTTTTAACACCTCTAGAAACTCTATAGGGTTAGCCACTTGTTGACCAAAATTATACTATACACAAACTGGTAGACGGTAGAGCTGTACACACCGCCCACAACGCACAAATGTCAGTGTAATTATTTACAGTAGAGAAGTCTTTAGAAATAACCTTGAACTGAAAAAAGGGTTTTCAATCTTTTTCATATGAATAAGTAGTAATAAATACAATATTTTACACCTAATACATTATATATTTATATATATACACTTACCGGCCACTTTATTAGGTACACCTTAGTAGTGTGGAGTTGGACCCCCTTTTGCCTTCAGAACTGCCTTAATCTATCATGGAATAGATGGCACAAGGTACTGGAAATATTTCTTAGAGAGATATCTTTTGGTCCATAATAACATGATAACATCACGCAGTTGCTGCATATTTTTCAGCCGCACATTCATTTGTCGACTGCACATCTCTCGTGACATAGATAGTGCATTATCCTGCTGGAAGTAGCCATCAGAAGATGGGTACACTGTGGTCATAAAGGGATGGACATGGTCAGCAACAATACACAGGTAGGCTGTGGCATTGACACAATCCTCAATTGGTACTAATGAGCCCAAAGTGTACCAAGAGATTATCCCCCACACCATTACACCAACTCCACCAACCTGAACCGCTGATACAAGGCAGGAAGGATCCATGCTTTCACTTTGATGAGCCTGTGCCAATTGTAGCCTTAGTTTCCGATACAGGAGTGGCACCCAGTGTCTTCTGCTTCTGTAGCCCATCTGCCCCAAGGTGTGACATGTTGTGCATTCAGACATGCTCTTCTGCATACCTCAGTTGTAACGAGTGGTTATTTGAGTTATTGTTACCTTTGTATCAGCTTGAACCAGTCTGGCCATTCTCCTCTGACCTCTGGCATCAACAAGCCATTTGTGCTCACAGAACAGCCTCTTCTGGATATTTTCTCTTTTTCAGACCATTCTCTGTAAACCCTAGAGATGGTTGTGCATGAAAATCCCAGTAAATCAGCCGTTTCTGAAATACACAGACCAGCATATCTGGCACTAACAACCATGTAATGTTCAAAGTCACTGAAATCCCTTTTCTTCCCCGTACTGATGCTCAATTTAAACTGCAGTAGATCGCCTTGACCATGTCTACATCCCTAAATGCATTGAGTTGCTGCCATGTGATTGGCTGAATATGGCTGGTGAGCATACACCCATATAATATGTGTGGATTAAAGATGTGACGTCAAATTTTAAGGACGTCAAATTAAATTTAGTGAAATAAGGTATCGGTTTTTGTCAGAATAAAATGTTAAAACTTAGCTAGTTCTATGTGGTAGATAAGTAAAAAAAATACTGCTGGCAATCGGGCAAATGCTAGCGGGTTGAATAATATGGTTGTAAAAGGTTTTCTAAAAGAGTGTAAAGATTTATGCAATTGATGATAATTTTGGGACTGCATCGTCCTCCTTAAATAGAATCTTTTAATATACCATTAATAGATTTTTTGTTTTAAATATGTCTGACATAAAGTGCCTCACAAAGTTATTTAAACCCCTTTATTTTTTTCACATTTTGATATTGCAGTCTTAATTACTCACCCACATCTACATTCTACACTGCAAAACGACAAAGCAAAAAAAACTAATTTATAACATCTTTTAATAAAAATGAAATACACATCATTACACAAGTGTTTGTAATCTTAGCCCAGTGCTTAGCTAAAGGACCATTGGCATTGATTATAGCCTTAGTTCCTTTTAAGTACACTGATGAAAAAGCTTTCATTGTTCTTTGCCAATCTTCATCACGCTGAGTATAAAGCGAATACAACGTATCAACTCCCCTTTGTTTTGTTTAATTTTAGATTCAATCAAATTTAATTTTAAATTTATCATTTTTTTTCTTTGTCATTACAGTGCATGAAGTGTAGATTTGTTGAGTTGAAAATGTCAAAAATGGTTTTAAAGCCTTCCATGCCTCATGCTAAGCTAGAATATCACATATTCTCTAATCATATAATCATCCCCGTGTTGAAATGCAAAGCTTTCTGGTGGCTTTAATTCTGAGAAACTGCATTGCAGGACATTAGAGAAGCTAAGGGAGGTTGGCAGCATGGAGAGGCTGAAACCAAGGACACAGTTGGCAGCGTGCCTGTGCTGGGCTGTGGATGCAGTCAGGCGGAGTGGAGGCAGGCCATGCCTTGGGGCATTGAGAAGAGGCCAATTCACTGGCACACTAGCTAGGCCCTCAGAGAGAGAACGCCACACACAAATTCAAACTTGAAGAAAATATAGAAAAATCCAAAAATGACAGAAAGAGAAATTTTAATGTTTAGCAATCTGATTTATCATTCTGAAAAAAAAAATGAACCAACTTCGTAATTCAATCCTTTCAAATCGCTGTCATACAGTATGATGTCAACATCGAATACCAATAATCCGACTTAATTTGATTGAGACAATACTCTGATTAAGAGTCTAGCACGTAAACAGTGACTTTTGATTAATTTAGTTTGATTAAGGTTATAATCGAATTAAACAGAAATCAAATTAAGATGTGGAGTATGCCGATTTTAGTGGCATTATTGAAGAGCAGTACAGACATGTAAACTCCTTAATCAAATTATTATCATTGTGTAGGATTTTCGTTCCTTTCGTGACTAGATATTCCATATACACAGCTGTTTGACACTATTTTCTGCACCTATCGACTGCAAAATGCAGAAGTTTTTTTCCCCATACGGCATCAGATTCCATTAAAATAGCACTCTTCCAGCAGTTCAAAATCACATACAAAATCTCGTTTGTCATGACGGCATGCATGAAATGTTTCTGGAAGAACGTGAAAGTGCCAAACTGCATTTAAAGTAGACAAATTAAAAATAAAACACAAAACTACATTAAACTCCGTAGGAAATGTGAATGACGTTAATCGAATTATGAACTATAACAAGTAAGACAGGATCATGAAAAGAACATTCAAAAAGCAACTTGTGTAAACACCTTAATCATATTATTGTCATATTCAGATTAGGGCAAATCATTTGATTTTAAATGTCCATGTAAACATACTGATTGACTGAAAACCAATTATGTAGTTTAGATATTATCAATTAAGGGTTGCGTCAAATCTAATCCAGCTGATTTGTTTAAAACATCTAATTCATTCAGAAATTATTCATTAACTTTCATAATTGACTATTTGACAATTGCACTTAATTTGTTCAACCTTTGCTGAACCATTCAAGAATGAAATGCAACTGTTATAGAGAACACTCTTGTATAAATAAAAATTTATTGTGTCTTACATTGTCAATTGGCAATCACACACACATTCTGATACATTCTAAAAAGATGCTGTGTTGGCGTAACCCAATGTTAGGTTAAAAAGTGTAATTAAGTCGGCCTGTCTGACTATGTTTTATCCAACATAGGGTCATTCTGAAAATGTAGCCCTATATACATTTCTGGAGATCACAAATCATGTAGCCAGAAGTACAAATGGCTGCATTTCATTTTTAAAATGAATACTACGGGGTGGTAGGATGCTGTTCCTTTTCCGCTTACCAGCTGACCGCTTACCTCCGTGTGGACGGCTTTCCCGCTGTTACCAGTTTGTCCAGTTACCTCGCCATGTACGTCAGTGGACTTGTGATGCAGAAAGGAGTTGACCGCAATGACAGCGTTCAAGTCCAGAGAACGGTTCCAGAAATCGGGTAGGACCAAAAAGGAGAAAAAAATGTATAAATAAAACAGGGTGAGAATGTGGTCAAATCTGAAAATGTGGTAAAAATCAGAAGGCTTTTCTTTTTCTGGATTGCTTTTATAAACTGTTGTTTGGGTTTAGGGAAGTGAGTGGGTGGGCGGGTCAATTGGTGCTTTTTAAAACACTATTGGTTGGGTTTAGAAAAGCAGGAGTGGGCCAGTCGATTGGTCAGTCAGTCAGTTGACAGCGGCCTCTGGTGGATTTATGTGAGAATAGCAAGCGCGAATGACACTCGCAAGAGAAATGTGAGAATTGAAAAAGCATATACAGTGGCCTCTGGTGGATTTAAGAAAACAAAAACTGTTTAAAAAAAAAAAAAAAAAAAACACTTCCTGGGATGTATTTTACAGAAATTTTTAGAAATGACCTTGGGTTGGTCCCATCACAATAAAGGCAAAAAAAGTGTAATATTTAAATGGAATTGAAAAAATAATAATAATCGAACATTGGGTTTGTACATATCTGACCCTACATTGGGATACCACAACCCAGCGTATGTTTTGAGTGTACTCTATGTGTGAGTCAGGGTGATAAGTTTTATTTTTCATAAAACTACTGACTTTTAATTGAGAGGTGCTTTTTAGTCTTAAACACTTTTGCAAAGCACTTATTACATGACTTAAAAAGTTGTGTGGATAGACTTGTGCAAATACAGTGCATCTTTAATGATTGCTATACTGTTTGTCCCTGTTTAAAAAATAATAAATCTTTGCCATGTCTTCAGCTCTCCTCTCCTGATATTTCTACAAATTATACAAGTAAATAATTCAAATCAAGAGTCAGATGCTTATAGGTTCATGGTCCATCAAGAGCCAGGCTGTTTCTTTTTTTCTCAAAAGTTTCCAATGCAACAAAGTTTAGGTACTTTATCAGTCTGTTCATGGTTTAGTTCGTCCTTACCTAATCTCACAATATCTCTCTCTCTCCTTCCTGCTGAACATGTATGTGGTGGTGACTGTCATCTTCTACTGATCAATCAGCACCCAAACAAGCAGGGTCTTTGATGGCTGCATAGAAAGAGAGAAAGAAACAGAGAGCAAGAGAGAGAAAGAAGAAGTTTCCTTTTGACGAGCATGTTCCACTGTGAGAATCCCCAGCAGCCTCTGACATCTGGTTCCAGTTAGAGCCATGACGCGCTTCCTGCCCGCCTGGGCCACGGTTCACAAGTCAGACGCCACGCTGAAGAACGAGGAGAAAAACAGACACACATGCTTACTCCAGTATTATCTACATGTGTGTGGTTATCCTGAATCCTGAACCACCTGTGAAGAGCATTCATTTTTTACCACCTATATGTCATTTATAGAATTATACAGCACTTCTTATCCCACAAACAGATAAACATTTAGTCAAGTGTACACATTATATTTTCTATTAAACATACTACAGTTGAAATTTTTTAATAATTAGTATACATTCATTTTGCATTTACAAATATTTTAAAATATATTAAAAATTATTTTAATAGTATGATATAGACTAAGTACAGGGTTCTGGGGGTTTCATCAAGTCAGACTTTTAAAGACCTTTTTAAGCACATCATAAATGACATTTTAGACTTAAATAGGGTTAAATGCAAAGGAATTTTACCTAATGTCCCGGTTTTCTTTGCCACATTTTAAATAATGTTTTAAAACAAGCAAACCCTAGTTGCATAGGATATACAATTTACA